TGAAAATGACAGTTTCTTGATCACTGTCAAGAAGTGGCACTTCTAGACATAGTCTCAGACGCGTTCTAGACTGTCTAGTTCTCGTCTAAAACGCATCTGTTTTAGGTCTAGTTTTACACGTCTAGAACATGTCTACATGTGTCTAAGCAGAACGTCAGGGAGCGACCGAGCGATCGAGCGAGCGGAGCGCGCAGGAGAAGCGCAAGGGATACGTAACTCGGTGTAACAAAGCCGAATTAGCTTCAAAGTGTGTGAACACATACATTTTTGGGAAGGTAAAAGTAAAAGGATTGTTATTCTGAAAAAATATTGGTGTTTTGAAGTCAAATGTCGACGTCAGGGGGATTCGAAAGACGATTCAGTTCTCAAGCGTACGACGGCCGTTTTGAAACCGTAATTTCACGTATTTAGAGACGTCCTAGGCCTACACATAAAGCGAGCCGATTATTCGCTTGACTTTAAGCTTTTTAGTGGAATTTTTAAAACTTCTGTGCGATGTCTGGTTCTCGAGAACGGAGCTTTTTACTCACGATGTAGTTAATACGGTGTCGGCACTGAGCTATCTGAGGGTGCCGCGGAATGACGGCACATTCGTAGTTCCAGAAGAGCCGCCAGTGGCGCTGGCGTCGACCGATGCCGGGCGAGGGGAGAAGGGACGAGACGAGCGGGGCACCGCTCCCGTCCCCTCCCGCTTCCCCTCGCCCGGCATCGGTCGACGCCAGCGCCACTGGCGGCTCTTCTGGAACTACGAATGTGCCGTCTTTCCGCGGCCGTCTTTTAGCCCGCTACCGGCCGGAGAGCCTACACCGTATTAACTACATCGTGTTTTTACTGAAGGTCTACCACGGCGAGTCAGACTAGCGCCAGGAGTGCCAGCTGACGTGCAGTAGCACGCTTCTAGTAAAAAGCTCCGTTCTCGAGAACCAGACATTGCACAAAAATTTTAAAAATTCCACTAAAAAGCTTAAAGTCAAGCGAATAATCGGCTCGGTTTATGTGTAGGCCTAGGACGTCTCTAAATAAGTGAAATTACGGTTTCAAAACGGCCGTCGTACACTTGAGAACTGAATCGTCTTTCGAATCCCCCTGACGTCGACATTTGACTTCAAAACACCAATATTTTTTCAGAATAACAATCCTTGTACTTTTACCTTTCCAAAAATGTATGCGTTCACACACTTTGAAGCTAATTCGGCTTTGTTACACCGATTTACGTATCCCTTGCGCTTCTCCCGCGCGCTCCGCTCGCTCGATCGCTCGGTCGCTCGCTCGATCTGCCGATCGTTTTCTCGGGCGCGTTCGGATAAGGAAAGTCTGATCGATCGAGCGAGCGAGCGAGCGAGCGGCACGGAGCGCTGAGATGCGCAAATCGCTTCTTGTACCCTAATTTACCTCGAGAGAGGGTCGACACGAATATTTTCGGATAGAGAAAAGAACGAGGAACATTATCCCGTAGAAATATCGGTAGTTTGAATCAACATAAACAAGAAGACCCGTTCGGAAGGACGATGTCGCTTCCAATGACGATACCAGCGCGCTCTCTGGGCACAATCCATCTTGTTTGTTGTTAATCGTTCATCCTTGAGAAAAGGCGGCAAGGTTCATCCTCAGAGGTCCGTTTAGAATGTTCAGAATACTCCTAGCAAGTACAAAATATTAGTGCAAAGTTCAACATTTTGTTCAAATATTAAATTGATTAGAGTTGAAGGTCTTCACCATGGATGTGGATGAGGAAAAGTCAGGTGCAGGTACGTTTATGACCAAATTGTTTCAATTTTTCCTACCGGCATAACCTTACGTACCACGAGGAAAGCCAGAATTCCAATCTTAAATAACATGTAATATATGGTTAAATATTAATGTCACTGCTTCTTGTTTTGTAGAGAGCGTGAGTGAGAGCCCTCTCCGAAAAAAACGTTGTAATATGCTATCTCCTCAAAAGTTATTGTGGAATGTTGATGCCTCTGTGAAGGTGTCAAATCTTCCCATCAATTTCATGGAGGTAATATTTTTATTTCTTCCTATGTTGTCTTTCGTTTAAAAATCGTACCGTTTGCATATGTTTTGTGTTATATTTCAGTTAACCTTTAAAAGCACATTGGAGAAAGTGAGGATCAAGAAAAAGATTTATAGTGACACAAAGGTTACTATCAAGCGAGTCCTCAACTATTGTAAAGAAAGTCATGAGGTTTATGTGGAGGTAAGTTAATACTCTTATCATATATTATTTCTTCCTACTCCATCCTAGTAGTAGCTTTGCTACTATGCTTAACTTGCTATTTTGTTCTTTTCTTTTTTTATTCTTAGTTCATCAATTCAAATATAGCAACTGCGATGTGCCATCTCAGTCAGAGAGAGAAAATTACATTTTTCCGTTGTGACCTTTGTATTGAACCTGCTGTCCACGAGATGGACACACAATTCGAACAAAATGTGTCCTTCTTCTCCTCTACTTGTATTAAAGAAGGTGAGTTTATTCTAATTAAGATGTTTCTGCTCAGTTGCAACATCCCTGGGAAAAAAAGTAAGTGGCAAAGTGCGAGTGAAGTGGCAATTAAGTGTCACTTCGTTGCCCCCTTGCTAAGGTGGCATTTAAGTGGATTTTGACATTTTAAGTGGCAAGGTGGCGAAGCGCCAAGGAGGAGGTGAAGTGGCAAGGAGGAGGCAAAGTGGCACCCGAGTGGCATCAGTCTCCATATTTTTCGCACATATGTCTAGTTGTACCGAGG